TGTAAGGTTATTATCCATGTAAGAAGGTGCCTCGTGGTTATTATGCAAATGCTACCTGTGCTGAGATCAGAGGGTTAAGGAATTTAAAAGCAGGGAATCTGAAGTTGGACAGTGACATTTCCCATGGATTATGGACCAGAATGGCTAAACACTACAAGGTGTCTCTAAGCAAGCCATAACCCAGCCTCACCAGCTCCAGCTGGGGACACATTAATTTCAAACTCTGTCACAAGAGATGCTGGCAAGACCTCACACAGATGGATTTCGTACTGTTTTCATTGCATTTAACCTGGAGAACATACCAAGTGTCCTCCAAGTGCACCTGCACTTTATGCTGCTCTTTACTGAATTGTGATACTGGCATTCAGTAAGGCAACATTTAGAGTTTCATCCTTTGGAATTAAGGTTTCAGAGGCACTTAAACCTCCAGGGAGTTCAGAGCTCTGACCCAGTGCTTGGCTCCTGAATGACAGCAGGACTTTAGGCTTGTCTCACTTGCTGCAAGTTTGGGTCTAAGGCAGCTTATCACACTCCGGTGAGAGCATCATGCTCCAGGCAAAGCTCATCCACAGAGCAAAGGATCCCAGAAATTCCAGCTAATAAATCAAGGCTCCTTTCCTTCCCACTTTTTCAAACCTGTGAGCAAGATCCTTCAATCCACCAGAACAGGATGGTCCATCTGCCTCTAGCCTTCTCCTTGGGGATCCTCCCTGAGTACTTTTTTCAAGCTCCTCTGCTCCTGAGGTGTTCTTTAAATCATCTGGGAAGAAATCTGCCTCCTGAGCTGACTCCCAGCAAGTGTTCTTTAATGGACACACACCCTCAGGTCAGGGCAGCTGAAGATACTCATGGCATGGTCCATGACATGACCCTGCATTATCCAGTGGAAGTGAATTCCATAGATGTTTTACTGGCCCTTAAAGGCATCATTTGAAGTATTTTCCTTGTCCTTCACCTTGCTTGGCATTACTTTATGGCATCCCCAAACATCTAGAGAAGTAAACGTAAATGCTGGCAGGAAATTCTTAAGTCATAAATTTAATTAGAGGGCACTGAAAGCCTCTCTAATTACTTACTGCAGGAGGGGAAGCTGTTGCTGGTAGCTCGAAGGCTCTTGCTCTTATTGAGCAGTAGCAAGGAATTCTCCCCACAGGAGGAAAGAGCAAGTCAAGTGTATCCTAATTAAACTAATAAGCCATCTAGAGTGGGGCTTTTATTTCCTAAATAGGCCAGAGGTCTCCTTAAACATTCCAGTTCACCTTTCCACCAGGAGACACTGCTGGAAACTCAGCTAGGGGACACCTGGGAGCTCCCATGCTGGTGACAGGGTGGATATGCAGCTCACAATTCAGAGCAATAACATGAACAGCATTGTTTTTTTGAGAGATGAAGCTTGTCAATCTTTAATGTATAAGCCAAAAAAAAATCCCAGCAATAAACAGAGAGAGGACGAAAAAAGAAAATTTTAAACAAAATCTGCACGACAACTTACGTAACATTAATGAAGCTTATGCCAGGTTAGACGTGCTAAGAAATCTCTACTACTTAGTGAGAGCGTATTCATCACTAAAACATGAGTTATTTCTCCTACAGATGGGTTAAAAATGTATTTGCTTTCCCACTGCCAAATGCAAGGGGGGAGAGACAGTGGAAATGTAGCAGACAGACAATCAAGGTCTGGGCAGCTCCACACCACAGCACCCTGAGACTGTGTCTGCTCTCACATCAGCCTTTTGCTCAGGCTCCATATGAAATGTCTGCAAGCTGATTAATACCTTTTTTCCTACTCTGAATGAATAGTAATCAATGCCTCTTTTCCCCTACTTTGCTGAGCTTGCTTCCCTAGGGAAGAAACCACCACTCTTAGACAGAAACAGAGCCACAGGTTGCCTCCCTGTATGTGCTCAGCCCGTGCTGGCACACACATCTGACCAGAGGTTTGTGCTGGCTGAGCGTCTCCAGGGTTTTTGGTCTTGCACGAGTGAAGAAAAAGCATTTAGGCTCAAATTACAGAAGCATTGCTGCCATTAATAAGGCAGTAACATTTACCTCCCTCTCCAGTAACCCTATAAATTTGATAATTTAAATACATAATATTTTTTGGGTTTATTATATAAAATTATTAAATTTTTAATTTAAGTACATAAAAATAAATATAAATAATGCTAATAATAGGAAGGAGGAGCAGGAAGAGGGGAAAAAGGTGGATATTTTCTTCTCACCATGGCATTCAGTCACTTGCACAGCAAGCTGGCTTGGAAACCCAACAACAGCACAATACAGAGGCACATGACTCCCCAAAATCCTTTGGCAAGATCAGTCCTGGTCACCCCACAACAGCCAATTAGTTGTTTTGATGGCAGTTTTGCCTCAATAAAATGGGTTCTGTGAAAGGAGCAGCTCATAATCTCACTAATGCTGCAGCATCTAGATCTCAAATACACATGTTCGAAATTCCCACAGATGCTACAAACACTGTCCTGGAATATGTAATTAAAATGCAACTGACTGCACAGACCTTTTAACTGAATCTCCTTCTAAAGTACTGCTTGCATGCTCTCATCTTTGCCTGGAACTAAAATCAATCCTCTTTCCCACACTTCAGCCGGGATCTGGCCTGTGGATTGTCAGTGCTTTGGAGTAGCACAGCTTGCTTATGTCTGATTGTTCACAAACTCATTTCTCCTTAAAAAAGAGCTTTCCAGTGACCAGGCATATTTCTGAGTACCACAGTTCCCATTACCTCTGTGTGACATCCCTCAGGATGCTTTGGGGAACAGTGATAACCCTCTCACCCTTCTGCCTGAGCTCAGCAGCTCCTTCAGCACACAAAGGCAAATCCCCTCCAGGTAGAGGCTGCTCTGATAATCCAAGAAGAATGTGTGGCTGGAACCAGGCACGGAGGAAGAGATGCAAAAGGATTTTATCACTATGTGAGTGAAACTCAGAATGTGCGAGGTCAGCTCTGTCTGCAGCACCTCAGATGTGCTTGGCTGAGTAAAAGCAGTGTTATTTTTTAAAAACTGGAACCCAAAGCAAGCAACAAAATGAGAAAAGCAAGCAACAAAATGAGAACAAGTTGCTGTCAGATCAATCTACTGTCAGCTTCCTTCATTACCAAGGGAGAGCCAAGGCCAGCTCATTTTATCCTTTCCTCAAATTATCCTCTCACCCGGACATTACCACTGCCCTAATAGCCACAGCCAGATGTAGCCAGTCCCAGGCTGTCTTTAAGCAGACAGCTAGCAAACAAGAACCTCTATTTCTTCATTTCCAGAGTACACTGCTTCCAGGGTGTTATCAGGCTGTGGAAAAATCAGGTCCCAGGAGAAGATAATAATAATAAAGCAATGTCCACTGCAGTCCCCTAAATCTGCTGCCTCACTTTCAGGCAATCAAACCACAGCATGGAGACATCCAAGTGCAGCAGCAACATCTGTAAGTTATATAAAAAGCTATTTCAGTCTACTACAGGTCAGAGCCCTCGGTGTTGAGGGGCAAAGGAACAGAAAGCTGAGTTGAAAGGATTTGCCTTTGGATCTTTTATCCAGTGTGCTGGGAATAGCCTGCAGAGTGCTCGGGAACAGAAGAGCGATTAGCAAAAATAGTGTGGGATTCAGCACTTCTTCCCTACAAACAAATCTTGTTTATGTAAAGCCTAAGGGATGAGGGTGATAGCTTGACAAGATAAAATGATGAAAGTGAGCAAATGCAAAACAGACTGTCATGAAACCAGAGGGAGAAACACTGGGTATTTTGCAAAGAATATACGTCCTTCCTTTGGTTGGGTTGTTTTTTTTAATAACAAAAAGCAGACATCACGTTTGTGGCAGGGGGGGGAAAAGAAAACAGGTGTTCACGACACGCTTTGGAGCTTTATGTATCAAAACTAACTGCCAAAATCCACCTCCCTGTTGTCTGTTTTCCAGCAAAGCCCTGCTCTGCTGCCTGGGTAACCAGCACACTTGTCCAGTGCTCATGACAGGGACCCCAGGTATTTTATCATTTTGTTGTTACCTGTCCCTGCTAAACACAAACCAGGGAATTGCACATGTTCAGCCCACACTGTGTTTATATAAAGCTTTAAATTTTATTTTTTTTCCCCCCAGTGTTGAGGCTTTCTGGAAATGCCTGATGCTCTGTGGCAGGTGCACCCTTCAGCAATAGGGGGTGAGATGCTGATGTCCCTTTGAAAGCTTTATTTTCAGATGGTGCAGGTGAAAATGCTGCTAAAAGCTGGAGGACCGTTGTGTGCCACTGGTGATATGATGGAAAATTAACTAATCTGCAGTTATCTGCATCAAGGAGTGCATCTGAGCTGCCAGTCCTGGGGCAGAGCTGCCTTTACCACCCCAGTGGGATTTACAGGGTGGATAATTAGGTCTGTGATATCCATAATAACAAGTGGGATGCTACTTGGTTCCACTTTCACAGGGAGACAAAACTAGATCAGAATTTGCTTAAGATTTTACCAACACCTCTCATGACAGCACAAACACCCAGAAGAGTTGTGCAGTGCTGCAGGAAGAAGCAGGGGCTGAAAAGGGGAACAGAAAAAGGCTGTTTGATAGGGGGGAAATACATGGGTGGGATGCAGAAAAACACCACGAGAGCATCTTCTTCCTTTAAGAATCTGGAGATGAGAACGGGAGGGAAAGATCCAGCGAGTTTTCCCTGAAATGGTTTAACTTGTGGGGCTCTCACACAAGTCAGAAAGAAGCAACAAAGAAATGTTATTACAACCCATGATTTCCCAGCCCACCAGAATATAGGAAGTGGTAATATTTTGTCTGTAAACATTAAAAAAAAGGTCCCTTTATAAAAATGATCTTTCTGTCATTTCAGAAAAAGCACTGCAATGTTATTGAAAAACAAAATGCTCAGAAGAGAACACTTCACACACTTCATTTAACTTACACCCTCGCACAGGTAATAACTGGAAGGATTCTAGGTCAAAAAAGCCATTAAATAAAATACTTTTAATAGTCTAATGTGCTCACCTTCCCATCGTAGCGTTTCACTATGAACTGGTCCAGGCCCAGGTCTGCAAAAGAAAAAAAATACTTACAGAAAATAAAGCTTTTACGGTGTAAAATGACGTATTTCTTGTGTTTTCTGTTTGAGAGGACTGGAAAGTAAAAGGCACAGTCTGAGTAACATGTGTAGAAAACAAAAGGACAGGAAGAAAATTTGATTTGGTTTTGTATATTTTGTACTTTGTATTTTGAACATAAAAACCCAACAAACTCATGGAATTGAAGAAAACCTCCTATAGCAGGGCCAGCAAGAGCTCAGCAACCAGCACCTCTCAAGAGCCTGAAATACCCTCCCCCAAAGTAGATCCCTGCACTATTACCAGGCAAACATTTCACCTATGACTCTTGGTGGTTTTAAGAACACCTTCTGAATGGCTCACAAATGGGAAAACAAAGACTTGTTCCCATAGTAAATTGGGATATCCCCAAAGAAATCCAAAGCTTGTTCATATTTGAGTATAAAATAAATAGTTTTTCAAGGGGATAAGTTGTAAGTGCATTTGTAAGAAGTGGAGTTCTTTAGCTGGGTGGGAGAAAGGCAGGGAGAGGGATTATTTATACCAATAAAGTCTCTGATACCTTCATAAAATGCTTATTTACGTTGAAGAGAAGAATATCCCAGCCTTAGCTAAGGCACAAAGCTCTCATCTATCCCACAATGCCCAGCAGGCTGCATCTAACACTGGTGGCTGCACATATAAGCAAGATGACAAAAAATAATCAGGAAGATTAATTATCTAAGCTTTGCAATCCAAAATCAGGAAGATGCAACCTGAGAAGAGATTAAGCAGAGCTCAAGTAAAACTCCAGTAAAACTCAAGAGAGTACAGGCTGATTTTTGCTGCTCTGAGAAATAAAACCTTCTGGAGAGTGACATCCTGTGCATTTTCTGCCACTGTTTATGGTAATTAGCACATTCTCATTTCAATTTAAATTAGAAAATAAGATGGAAAAACCAAAATAAAGCCTTCCCCATGCCTGCTGCATCACCTGCTTTTGAAAGAGCATAATGAAACCCTTCCTGTCTACTGGAAAGTTTCATGGTATAGTGCAGAAAATGGAATTATTCATTGCTCCAGGGTGATCCCCCTTACCCTTTGTGACCCAAATCAGCTGCAACTCCTCTGCCACCAATTTCAAAGGTCAAGGCAATTGTCACAGGGCTGTCTGCACTTGTGAAAATTCCAGCCAAGAAAGCACCTTCTCAGTATTTCATGGGCCTGATAACAATGCAAATTGCATATTCATACACATTTTCAGACTTTAATCTTCTGAATTTTGTCCTCCTCCAAGCTGTGGGTATAAATGCAGTGAGCATTGGTGCGTTTAGAGGTAGGATTTGTCTGATAAATGTGATTATTTTAGTACAGATGCTTTATGTGGTTGGAGCTCACCCCGACCATCCATCTGGATGGTGACTTAAGCCGAGCTTATGTCTGTGTGTCATAATAAAGTCATTTCTCAGGAACACCTCCCTTTCCCATGCCAGGAAACGCTGCTGAAAGACAGATCCCTGACAGCCTGACATTATACATGTACTCATAAAAAGGACATGGGTTAAAAATAGCAAGTGAAAGTATCTCTTAATGGCACCCCCTGCAACTGGGAAACACTGGGAAAGCAAACAGGTTTCAATAGAGAGCCAAAATAAATGGATGATTGTGTAGTGAACAGCAGGAAAAGATGAGCTGATAACTGTCATTTTATATATATAAATACCATGTATTTTGAAATAATTATAATAAATATTTATGTAATAACTGAATATGGAAATAAAGGCTCCTGGGCTGTCCCAGCAGTGGTGTGGGCAGAGGCCCAGGGCAGGGCCCATCCCCTGGACTGGCCCCGCTGAGGGACCTCCAGGGCTGTGTCCAGTCCTGGGCCCTGAGAGCCCAGAGAGCCCTGGAGGGGCTGGAGCGTGTCCAGGGCAGGGAACGGAGCTGGAGTCCCAGGAGCAGCTGAGGGAGCTGGGAAAGGGGCTCAGCCTGGAGCAAAGGAGGCTCAGGGGAACCTTCTGGCTCTGCACAACTCCCTGACAGGAGGGGACAGCCAGGGCGGGTCGGGCTCTGCTGCCAAGTAAAAAGAAACAAGAGGAAACAACCTCAAGCTGTGCCAGGGGAGGTTTAGTTTGGATATTAGGGAAAATTCCTACACCAAAAGGGGTGGTCAAGCACTGGCACAGGCTGCCCAGGGCAGTGGTGATGTCACCTCCCTGAAGGGATTTAAAAGCCATGTAGATGTGGCACTAGGGACATAGTTTAGTCGTGGCCTTGGCAGTGCTGGGCCAATGGTCAATATCAACCTTAAAATCTTTTTCAACCCAGATGACTCCACAATTGTACTGCACATAAGCACATTGGTTTCCACCAGTGTTTTATATGGCCACACTTCCAGCCATGCAGAACATCCCCTCTCCTCTGCTGCATTAAGCTGCACACTTAAATTCCTCTGTGAAATTCCCCTTACATAGGTCCAGAGAGGAGCCAGCTCAAAAGCTGAAAAGAGGCATTTATATTCAATGCATAGGCTTTTACTCCGTATATTTTCCTTTTCCCACTACAGTTTTGTTTTTTTTTAAGGACTTAGCTGCCTGTTTTTCCACAAGCCTTTAAATCTGACAAAAGGAAACTAACAAAGAGGGTCTGTTGCCTGATGCCTGGAGTCTTCAAATTACATAAAAAACCCCAAAACCTTTTCTTCCAAGATGCTGCAATAGGAATTCAGCATTTGCACAGGCTGGTGAGCCAATGGGAACACTGCATGGATGAGGACAATCACAGCTGAATAAGGGAAGGGAAGAATGTCAGTTATTACACCTCTGTTCTTCAAAAGGCAGAGTGTTATGTTAAAGCCACCACAGGATTGTCTCTAATGCCACACTCCCAAGACAAAGAGTCCCTGGTTGGGCTATTGCTGCTGAGCTGCAGAAACACAGGCTAATAGGCATGTTGAACCAGGAGAAAAGAGCTTTTCCACCTTTCACTGAGGAGCAGGGGCTGAAAAAGCATTCTCCCAGAAGTGGTTGAAAGGATTTCCTCAAGAGAGGCAGCTATGAAATCCAGGAGTCATTTCAGGAAGATACGTGGCCGCTTCAAGCTTTCCTGGGACACACACCATGGCCAGTCTGGATTGCAGTGATCACCCAGAGCTTCCCTCATTTTTTCTGTTGAAAAAACCCAGAGTTTCCACCATGACCTGCCCCAGAATACACTTATATTTATCTGACACAACACCTCATCTTTCCCTACACATGCCTTTTGCTCCTGCAGCAAAGGGCTCTGCACCAGCCATTCACTGCCAGCAGCATTTCAGTGACTGCAATGATTTCCGAATCAACTTCCCTGCAATGTTTAACTACCACTGTTTATTACTCCTACAAATTCTGATGGCACCTATCAGTGCCCCCAAATAAATAGCAGCACTGACACAGAGTATCTAAACACGTAGGGCCACTAAAAATGTTATTTCAGAGTAGACTGACACCATTTACTCACTGATACCAGGGATATAGGCTGCCACTTTTATTCATGTGATGGTACTTTCACAGCACTCTAAATATAAAAATGATTCAATATAAAGCAAAAATTACTAAAGACTCACAATGGGGAAAACAGGGTTTTCAACAGTAGAACTGTACTCCCTGCATTTACTTCTCTCATTCTGTGCTGGGGAGGGCGTTTTCATGGAGAGGAAATGATTTATGTCAAGGAAAAAACACAAAATAACTTGTTCTTACTCTTGTTCAAGAATAGCCAAATCTAAAATCAAATGCTTATTATATTCCTATTGATTAACAAAAGCATACTTTCCATGGATTTTCTCAAAGCCAGCTAATTGCCACACTTGATAAATATGCAGACAATTACTAAGCTCTTGGTGTTATTTTGTAATAATAAATCCATAGGCAGTAGGTTATAGACTGCAGTTCTAAAAAACATTTAAAAAATTAGCTTCTAGGAGGACAATTATATTATGTCAAGAACACAGTTGAGATCAATTAGAAACCACCATGATTTCCTCTGGGATACCAGCAGCTTCTCACTGATGGAAAAACCTTTTCAATTCCTTACAGTCTTGATATCCTTGTCAGATTTTTCACATTATTTGGGTAACATTCACTCACAATCTGCTTTTTTCCCCCCCACTGCTTAATATATAACATGAACTCTTTTTTTTTGCCAGCAGATGAATGAAAGGGCTAATTATGAAGACTCAAGAGCTTGCTAACTGGGCTTGTGATATGCCACATTATGGCAGGAGAAAATGCTGGAGCAAGCTTTCTCCTCCAGAGCTGTAATCCAGCTTCTGATTGTTGTATTCAGAGTATTTCCCCTCTGAATCTAAAATGTAATCTGCAAGCAAACGATGAGCTGCCTGAAATTTCTCAGGGGACAACAGCCTCCAGCTTAGGTTCAAGTCCAGGACTGTTTTGTTCCAGGAAGGAAGGATCAAGAGATCTGGTTCTCCTCTATCTCCTCCTGCTCCAACAAGCCATGTCTCCCTATGAGACATGCATTCCTAACACACCTGGTCAGCCCCACCAACCTGGCACCTGTAAGGGAAGCCCTCATTTATGTGACTTTCAGCACATAAGCATACATGTAAATGCATCTCTTGCTCCTCCTTGGCTCTTATCCTGAGGTCTCATATCAGGCATGACAGGCTCAAAGATAATTCTTGCCTAGGCATTATGTATTTTCACAGAAAAAGAGCCCCACCTTATTCAGGAGACAAATGGAGTTATCCCTCACTCACATCCTTTCTCTGAACAGCTCTTCAGCAGATGTACTGGGGAAGAATAGAGTGTGAATTTCCAGAAGGACTGGAATCCCAGAATCTCTGGCATCCTTCTAAGTCTTAAATATCCCAGCTGACCACTTTGTGTAACTTTAGGGATCTGTACCAGCCCAGGGAGTTCTCCCCTCCTCATCACATGAGTGCTTGTCTCAGGTCCTGACTGCTGGTTCTACCCATCAGATCCATATTTCATAAATGTTAATCAAAATTAAAAATAATCACTCATGCATTGCACCACCCCAGTGGCCAGCTTGTGCTCAGCTTCTCACGCAGGTCAGGCATGGAAAACAAACCATTTCTAACAGGAGAAGCAAGCTGTACACTCTGACGCAGCCACTGGGAATCAGCCGTGTCCTTCATGGCTCCTCTACTCTGTCACTATCCCCTGCACAGAGACTGCAGGGTTACAGCTGCTGCTTCTGCCTGGGCTTCAGCAGCATGTTTGGGGTCTCTTGCACTCAAACAAAAAACCAAACCAACCAAAAAAACCCTCTAAGAGCTCAGATATTTGAGCTGCTGCTGCTCATTATGTGGTGAAACTTGAAATGGATCTTTCCTATGGCAGGAGTCTGGGACAACCAGCAAGGTTAATACAGGGATGGAAGAGCAGGACTGGTTTGGGAAGAACCTGCCTTCATTACAGCATGCTGGGGTGAGATAGAAGAAGTATTTACTTCTTTCTGTCCTTATTGCAAAGGCTGTAGGAAAATAGATACTGGCTGAACGTGACACAGCTCCTCCTTAGTCCAGATTGCTTCAAAATACTCACATTCCTCAGGAAAACAATCAGTGCAGAATAGACCCAGATAAACTTGGAGAAATGGAGGGAATCCTTGCACTTCCCACCAGAGACAGAATATTTTCAGCTGGGACTGGGGTTTGGGGCTGGGGCTCCAAGGAAGCACCAGGCAGGAAACAGCCATCCCTTCCCATCCACCCTTGGAGCAAAGTTACCTCTCAGGTATGAGAGGATGTGGGAGAACAAAAATAATACAGGACTGCAGGGAGCAGAAATCACCACCCACGCTTCTCCTGGCACTTGAACTTTCCAGCTAGCACAGAAAGAAATTATTTTTTTAAATCAGCTTTCAAGTTTAATGCCATTCTTTGGCTCCTTCTGACAAACCATTCCAAGCTCAGCAAGCTCGTGTCATTCCTTAAGCACAGCTTGCCTACTTGGTGGCAGGAAGTTTGACTGAACCAGAGAAAGCAATCTACAGGAGCTGAGGAACTGGCATTCATTTCCCCCAAGTTAGCAAAACGCAGGCTAGAATTAAGCTGGCACTTTATTGACAATAAATCAAACTTTCCCCTACGTAATCTATAAAAATGAATCAGGCACATGATACCTTCACAGTAGATGAGCAGTTTAAAAATAAATACAACAGGGACTCAGCTACTTCATTACTCCAGATCACTTCTATTCCACAGTGTTTTCTCTCCATAAAACAGTAGAGGCATTTACAAGAAGTTACTCCCTGAAATTACGACCGGCAGCTTGAGCACACTGAAGGATTACCTCAAAGAGGTTTTCTGGGAACACACCAGGCTACATCACAACCCCAAGGAATGCCTTGGGATGAAGGCAGGATGCTCCAGCCCCAGTGGAGGGCACACCCAAATCGTGACTCAGGAAGAAAGCAGCCCCAGCATTTCCCAACTAACCTGTAACCTAAATTATCCTATGAATCAAAAGCACCAGCAGGGTGTGAAATACAGAACTCATCTGGCCAGCAGGTAGCACTCTTTGTTTTCAATTTCTGGTCTGAAAACCAGACCTATCTTCCTTTTAGTTTTTACTGCCAGCTTTAAAAACATTTGAGAACAAGGTTATGGCTGGTTTGGCTTTATTGTAGCAATAAGTGTTTTACTCTTCTACTGTTCATTATGTATTAAAAAACTCAATTTACTGTGATTGTGGTGATGCACAGAGCTGGTGAGGAACAACCTCCCTAGAGCAGCTCCATCTAGAAGCAAATCCACAACAGTAAGAGTTCTGAAGACAGATTTTTCAACTCAACAAAATCCAAGATGCCCACCTTCCTGCTCTGCCTGCTGATGGGCAGCCCAAGCTCAGCTTCCATCCCATTCCACTTGCCAAGAACACCTCAGACCACTTTCTTCCCTTACAAGCTGCTGTGTGTCACTGACTGGCAGCATTTGCAGGCACCGCGGCTTCACGGGTTCATTTCAACAGCCAGGATAACAATGGGAATTCAGTGGGAAGTGAGTGGCTAAGAATGATGAATTATTATTTCCCATTAGTCACCTCGGCTTGTCTGTGAGCAAGGTGTTTACTGAGCATTCTTCCACCTATTTGCTGTACACACCCTAAAATGCACCAGGCACGTGGAAAAAGTAAAAGAAGAATCAGATGTGTTGAAATGAAACACAGCAGGTTTTCAGTTTTTGGGCTTCCAGACATGTGCTAATGCTCTTCCAAGTACCAGTTTAAGGAGTCTGAGATAGACAAGTTGGTAACCTACAGCCATAAATTCACATGGAAACTACAGCCATTTCCAGGGCTTGATGGAAACCTAAATATCAATTCACCTACGTGTTTTAAACACTAATGCCAGGATTATTCTTTCTTCCCTCCTGCACACACTTCATGTTGTTATTTTCTAAGCACAAGGGCATACACAGTATTTATTTAGCAGCTGTCATCTAAGATATCAAAACAATTTCCCAATTTGGACATAAACCCCACATGCTAAAAGTTAACATTCAGGGGCTGAAGTTCTTCATTAATGTCTGCAGAGTCAAGGCAAGTTTTGATTTGACAAAAGCCTGTTAAATTCTTTGAGATACAATGTGGGAGACCAAAAAAACCACGATCTCCCACATCTTGCCCCAAACATGAATCTCTAAAATGGAATGCTGACAAAAACCTCCTGCTACTCCACCAACACCAAATATTCAGGACACAGCTTTCCAGACAACAGCAAGGCATCTCTCTCCCACTTGTTGATTGCCAAACTCCTCCAGGTACCACAAGTGATGTGTTTTTCTGCAACCCACAGGGAATCTGAAGATGGCAGAGATGAGCCCTACCCTGACCAGCAGCATCACACAGGGCTGCCTCAACCCCTTTAGAACCACCTAGGTTGGAAAAGACCTCTAAGCTCATCAACTTTTATTGCTGATGTTTTCCTTCGCAAAGCAACCTCCTTTTGAAGGTTTAGGAAGTGTTTCAGTTAAAGGTAATCTTTCCCTATTAAATATAGGAGAAAGGCATCCCAACTGCTCTTCAGGGACTCACACCAGCCACATCTGTTATACTGCAACAGCATTTTGGGAAGCATGAAAGGGCTCAGGCTAATTTTGGGCTTGGAGCATGAGAGCTTCAGGAGATGCTTCCTAGCCCTGGCAATCAGAGCTGAGAAGTTTAAAGACCAGGTGAGCAGAGGCTGGGGAATATCAGTTCCCCTGATCACCACCCACACACCACTCACTCTCCGGCTGTTTCTCGTTGGGGGTGATGGATCTCACAAAATCCTGCGGGGTCATGAAAACCTCGGACTCGCCGTGCTCATTGATGACCTTCAGCGTGGCAAAGTATCTGAAGATTTTGTCTGGTGTGGAGTAGGCTCTGATCCTGTTCTCATATTCCATCACCTGGAAATGAAATTTAGCCAGCATTAGACTTGCACTGTTCCTGCCCCACACTGACTCTTAGTTCTCAAAGAGATTTGCCACAGGACAAGTTGCATTCAGCAACACAACTCTTGACTCTTTTGGCAGTATTCCTTTCAAAAACCCTTTGAACACCCAGGAAAATTGGACACATCAGCTACTGATGTCCCAGGATTAAGAACAAACACCAAAAATCTTTATTATGAATAAATTTAGACTCTTCATGGTGGCAGAGGAAAAACAAATCCACAAAAATCCCTGAAGGTACTTTAAAAACATGAGCATAAGAAATCGCACTGGCATCACACATGTGAATCTAAAGCAGCCCAACCACAGCATTGAAGGACTTGATTTGTGATTAATATATGAAGTAAAAGAAAAGTCTTGGAAGGCTGGGAGAAACCTTTACTTTCAAGCAGAGTCTTGGAAAAAATCACTTGGAGCCGCAGCTGGTTGCTCAGTCACCCAAGCTCATTTTTTCCTCTTCTATCACACTGGCAGAATTCCCCAGAAACTCATTCCTCCCCACCAATCTGCTTCTTCCTAACTCTGCCAGCAGTGATTTTTTTTTTCTTTGTACCTAGAATCAGTTTCCCCCCAAACAGCTGGAATTAATCAAAGACAACAGACAGCTCTTCTAAACAAAATCCCAACACAAGGCCACAAGGGTGGAAAAAAGGCACAGACACCTACACTTCATCATGTATTAGCACAGAAAACTTTCCTCCTTACTTCAGCTTTTCATTCCTGCATTATATGCCGTGTTTAACAGTCCATAATGTACTTGAAACCTGCAGCTGGCCAAGAGCCACAGGAGGAAAAAATCCCAACTGATGATGTGCTGCAAGAGAACAGGCAAGATCAAGGGTACTGCCAAGGCAGCTGTACATCATTCCTGGCTTTGCTCCTGGTTCAGCCTTGTCCTTAAATTCCTGAACAACTTCCTCAGCCTGATGTCTATCAGACAGAAAACGCCCTCTCTAGTTTTTCTTATTTCTAGGATTTAAAAAAAGCCGAATGTTTTGAATCCCCCAAGCCAAGCTTTGGTAAAGCAAAGCCCCTCTCTCTCTCTCTCTCTCTCGTCTTCATTTGCCCCAGCTCAGATCTCCCAGCTCAAATCTCTCACGTTTTCCCCAGCTTCATTTGCCCCAGTGTCTCTTAGATGACACTACCTAAAATGACAATACTTAAAGCACTCTCCCCACTCCTCTCTGCATCACCACAGCTTTTCCAGAATTCACACCTCCTTGCACCAACCACTACAGGCAGTTCCCTCCCTCCCTCCTGCAGAAGAAAGTTTTTGTCCTTAGGCCCTTTGCACTTCTAATCAACAAACCTAATCCCACTTTTATTGCTTCAGTCCACAAGGTTCTCCACAGCTAAGGGCACTGGAATGAGGACAATTGTTTTATTGCCAAGCTCCCAGTGCCAGTAAAAGACAGCACCCACTCTTCCACTTCTTCCCGACTTTGTCTACAGCTCCCACCTGGCAGGAGGCAGCTCCTTATGCCAAAGTGATCTTTTGACTTGTGGGTGCAGGCCCATATCTCACTCCTGCCTGACCTGATCTCATGAATAACACCCCACCCAGCTTAATCAGCCAGAAACAGCTCGGTATTTTTACTTTCAAGGAAGACAAATAAACCCAAGGACAGTGTGAAACCCCGGACTGGAGCCAAGGGCAGACACCACAGACCACGACCAGCTGCTTCCATCTATGGCAACCCTTCCACACAGCCTGCTTTCTAGCTAAAAAAAACTCATTAACCAAATTTTCCAAGCCTGTGGAAAAATTTCTTGCAAGGCACTATCAAATGCTTTCCTTCAACCCAGCTGGGCACAGCTCGACAACCCCAATTCTGCACCAGAGACAGGAGTCCTGACATTTCTGCCAGTAAAACCATGTTTCATTTTACCCCACTTGACTTCATATCCACAATTGCTGTTCCCTCTGTATCCATTTTAAGCCCCTGCTGGAGATGCTACTGGCAGGCTTGTTGCTTTCAGGTGCTTTTCTCCTCGTTTAGAATATTTAGAGTATTACTTCCACAGCAACAACAGCTTACTAACAACATGGGTCTAAAACCACATCTCCTGTCTCAGCTTACAGCACAGAAATGCACAATCTAGACCAAAAAAATAGAATCTAAACTGCTTTTTAGCATCTCACAGGCTGCTTTCATCACAACTGAAAACCTCACCTCTTCCACAAGCTTCCCTACAAGAAGGGAGCAAATGCAGCCACAGTTCTTCCCTTTTGCCTGCAGCTCAACTCACAATTACATCATTCTTGGTAATGAGCTAATCAGCTGGCAAAAACTGACAAATGTTGCAGCCCATCCCTCTGACTGCAAGGCTGGGTGCAACACGAAGCCAGGTCAAGAAGGGAGCAGCCAAGATGCTACAAATGAGGAAAACCTCACTCACTCATGACTGGGTGCTGAACATCAAGTGAGTGATGGTAACGGGTGACCTGATCCCCAGGCACAAATGTGGACTTAAGAGCCCATGGATTTGGGTGCAGACAACCTTTGTGAGGGGTTTTTGCACTGCTTCAAAGCAACCTGGAGTGAAAATCGTGCCAGCCAAGTGTCTTCCTCTCCTGACCTCTCACCTTTTCCTATTACAAACCAGTCCTCTATACAAGGCAGAGCAGTCAAAATCCTCATCCTGCCCCCAGAAATGCAGCCTCACGAAATCAGGCACCTCCAGAAAGATGATATGACTCAAAGGGTAAAATCCCTTTTTTGCATTTATTAGTAGAGCATGTACTGGAGGAGAAAGACAAGTAAGTAATCCCTGCTGCTCTACAAGAGTGAAGGTGCTGTTGAGACTGTCAATGTTTATGCTAAGCCTCCAGTTAAAAGAAAAAAAAAAAAACAACCTAAATCCTATGCTGACATAAAAATAAAGCTCTAAATTAACATCTCAAGGCACAGAGCATCACCAGGGCCTCCCTGACTATGCAAGGGCACACATCTTAACAGGGTAAATTAATTAGGACTCATTTTCTTCGTGCTTCCTCCTGTGACACACACCCAAATGAAGGTTCAGCATGAGGAACATCCCAAGGCAAGATACCTGCAGGACCCAAACACTGCCAGTACATCTTGATAAATCAGCCCTACTGCTGCATGCAAACACTTTTAGCAAGTTAATTAACACATCAGCCCGCCCCCATCCTGTATTACAGCTCATTAGCCTCCAAACTAGATTGAGGCACTCAAGTAATTTTTTTTTTTCCTGCCCTGCATATCCAGAACCTACACACCACACAGGCCACACGTGCTTGGGGACCATCCACACACAATCCCAACACCTGAGAGTGGTTTCTGTTTCAGCTTTCCCCTCTCCCTGGATCACTATTTAAAACAGCAATGTCAAACTTAATTTATTGCTTAACCACTAATCATCACCTTCATTAAAAGCAACATTAGGATAACAAACAAGTGTTAAACACTTCCAATTAGGCTTAATTTTTTCGCAAGGAAAATCCCACACTATTTTCAATTAATTAGGGAAGAGCTGGGAAGAGTTTTAACCGTGGGTGGAGGTTTGTTAGGGTTTTATTAAATGCCTAGAAGAGTCAAGAATCCCCGAGGTGCTACACAAATAGGGGAGCAGCACATCCTGGGAGCAGCCCTGATTTTGAGTGGTGACAGGGGCACACCTTCCCCTGTCATCTGAGCTGGCCACATTCAAACACAACTCCCGAGGTGACTCACTGCAGCAACTGCTGCTCAAACACGGAGCAGGCACCTGGGACAATACCTGGCACATCCTGCGTTTAAAAGAGCTTTTGCAACATTGGCATTCAGGCCACACAAGGTACATTCTGTCTCGAGGCTGCAGAGAAAAGGCTTGTTTTGGCACAAAGATGGTGAGGGCTGTCTTAAACAGGGCTGTCCCCAAGGAAATTGCTGCTCCTGAGCTCCTGCTGTCAGAGAAAGGCAGACTGAGGCGAGAAGGGATCCAGGCCACACGCTATTCCCATCTTTTGGGCACACCTGGCTTATATCTTATTTGGAAATCATGGTCATACTCCCTGCCTAGGTTGGGAAGGAAAGAGCTGATCAACACAGGCAGATCTCTGACAACTGGAACAATAGTCCTTGCCTGTGAAAAAAACTTTCTCTGGCTTACCCAGCCACATCAGACAAAAATCAATCCTTACACTCACTGTATTCAAAAGTAAGAGTGTGGATGGAGATGGACTGTGGTGCTCTTTGCAACCTGCCTCCATCTGCTGACACTGGAAAAAACCAATAACCTGCTTTTCTTGAGTGGTACTGGCAGGAGCTGAAGTTGTCAAAGCACCTGACACCCAGCTGCCATGAAAATTAGCAGCTTCCAGGAACCCACACTCCTGGACCATTCTGAGTATCTCAGCACAGTATCTTACTGTGTAACTTCACTGAGCTGCCACCAACACCTCACAACAGGAGAGAGTCTGGAGCCCCATGTACCACGAGGCACTTGAAATCTCAAGTTGTGTAATCTTTTCTGACCAGGAACTGAAATGATTCAGCAGCTTCAAAGGAAACAGCTCTTAATTTTTCATGAGAAGCTGTTAAGCCACTATATATCACTACCCACAATTTAACAGCTAATGAGATGCAACCTCCAGAATACAGGCTTAAAAATAATTATCAGAAGCGAGTCATAGTAAAATGGAAGTAGATGCTCTTCACAATTCCTTTCTCCTTTTTGGTGCTGCAAAGATATTACATCATCCAACGCAGCCCTATAAAACTGACATCCAGATGGGCTTAAAAAATAAAATACTGCTGTCTGCCTGCTCCCAGTTACAGAACTCCATCAGAGCAAATTACACATCCTTTAATAACAGTGGTTTCAGATTGTGCCAAACCGGTTCTGAAAAGCCCCAGGCTCCTGGAACTGCCCAAGACTGAAGGCAGGTCACAAGCCAACAACAGAGTTTATTACTCAAGTTTTCCTCCTCTTGAAAATGTGTCTGATCTGAAAATGAAATAGCTAGAAGCATCAAGAGAGAAACAGGACTAACCAAGAAGGGGGACTGAGGCTGTATTTCAACAAGTACATTTGCACAGAGTAATTAAATGAAGAATTAAAGTGCACCTTTCCTATAATCCTCCCTTCCACATTCATCCTCTACCTCTTCCTACATGCACTGTGTATACTCACAGGCAAAAGGATGGACTCAGAGACACACATGAATATCCCAGATGGTTTAAAAACTTTGGCACCAATTCTCTGCTTTGCATGCACCATCCTAACAGCCATCAGTGCAGGAGCCTTGATTATCTTGGACATGTGAGTGGAGGTGGGAAAAGAGGTCTCCATTTCAGAAGATCAGCTTTCCAAATACACAACACACAAATACAACCTTTCCAGATACACAAGTTTCAACCTACAGAAACTCATGGCAACAAGAGCTGAGAAAGCAGGTTCCCAAAACAGTAAGAAAACAAAGACAGGTACAGAGCACGTTTTCTCTCTTACAAGATGCCCAAGTTTGGTACCTTGCGGTCTCTGAACCCGGAACGCTTCTTTTTCTTCCCTTCTGGTGGTGCCTCCTCGTTGCCTGATGCCACTGCCCTCCTGCCCTCGCTGCTCTCCTCCTCCTCCTCCTCATGCTTCACCTTCTCCCCTGGCTCTGTCCTGGGGCCATGTCTGACAGAGTCTTCTGCGTAGGCCCTGGAGCAGGGAAAAGGAAACACCCGTTTAGGAAGTGACTGAGAGCTGCTAAAGCTGCCACAAAATGGTTCTGCTGGGCTCCACCTGAGTGCAACGCTGGTTACAGCTCAGTGGGGAGGGCTGCAAAGCAAAAGCAAAGAAGTGACCAGTCCCCTTGGAATTCAGTGTGCTTTCCCCTCTTGTAATCAAATTTCCACCCCACACCAAAACCCAGACTAAGGGTCACAGTAAGTTTTCCCAGTCCAAACCACTCAGTGAATTTTGACACCTTCTCCCAAAAACTAGACATGCAAAAAACAAGGGCATATCATACCTCCTCTAGCACTAAATTCCACCTCTGCTTCCCCAAAAAGATGTATTAAGTGACAGAAATGTGTTTTCCCATCAGTACTGGAAGATTCAGGATGAACAACCTTTTTGTTTCAGCTCAGCTGATTTATTTTCTATCTCCAGCAGCTGACAGGCTGTTTTATCCCCTTCTTCCACCAATGACTCTTCTAAACACCACTGCTGCATGATTTGTGACAACAAAACTGGAGCTGTTTGTCCTCAAGGTGGAAATAAAACTCTGGCAGAGCACAGGACCACTTCTCCCTTGCTGTCCAAACACAAAGATCTTCAGGTAACTCTGTTTGTAGACCAAGACTCAACATTTCAAATCGCTCAGAGCCAGGAGCAACTCGCAGAACTGCAACTGGCAATGGGATGATCAAATAAAAAGCAGGATAAATCCCTAAGCCAAACAATGCACTGGCTTTCCCATGCTTTACTTGTAAAGCAGTTTAGAATCAGACAGAGCTCAGACCACATTAACATCAGTGAAATTATAATCTCCGAGGATCCGTTAACATGTCACAAGCAACAAAGCCAACAATTTGACAAAATTATTTCTCTTTCTAAAGGAGTCAAACAGCTCAGGGAAACATCCCAGCCTGCCCATAATTTAAGCAAATCTGCCTTTACTTTGCATTCCTGGTGATTTATTTGGGACTAATCACAGGGTATGGAACTTACACACAGGTGATGCTCCTTGGCCACTTTGGGACTGCTTGGAGCTATGAACGTGGTCATTTACAGCTGTGTGAGTTTGTTTAAAAAGGGCTGCCTTGGGAGAAAAACGAAAACAAACCAAGATTTTTGAAGTCTCCCAAGCTCTAAACAAAAGGCTACACATACTTCATCCTACCAGTTTCCTGGAAAACACAGATGTGGTGTGTAATATTAACAGAAGAGAGTCTGTGTCTGTCTCCCCAGGAATCACAGAATCATGGAATGGTTTGGTTTGGAAGGGGCCTTAAATATCCTCTCATTCCACCCCCCCCTGCCATGGGCAGGGACACCTTCCACAGCTTGCAGCAATCTCAGCACATCAGCTTCCAAGAAGGAGAAATGAGGGTAGGTGCTCCATCAATTAATTTAAATGTTACCAAAATAAAAGACAGCTCTCTCCTTATCAGCATCCAATAATTCACTGACAGTCACAGTACAAGACAGATGGGAATGGGCTAAAGAACTGCAAACATCCACAGTACTGGTGGGAAGAAGGCACTTTATTATTTATGGAATGGTTTGGGTTGGAAAGGATCAGCTCAGCTATGAGTTCAGAGGTTTCTAGGACAGAACACAGCTCCATTACAGGGGTCTGATGAAATAAAATACGCAAGTGCTCAGTGAAGAGTAGTATTAATCCTGCCTTTTCACATAAAAATGGGGTTTTACACACTTCCCATTCTGAAGAGGCCCTGAGTCTCAATTTGCCAATATTTATTTGTGAGTCTTACAGCAAAGCACCATCTTTATGACCTCCACTGAACCAAACTTTCAGAGACAGCATCCAAACCTGGGTCGTCCACAAGTATCCTGAGATAGGGAAATTCTTTCCCTGGAACAGTCCAGCAGCTGACCTTTTTTGGAGCATGAAGTCCATGCTGGCACCTGTCCTGAAGCCTTTCCTGAAAGTTTAATCAGCACTGGCACACCCTTGAGGAGCTGTGGGTTTGGCTGAAAAATGCAGCTGCCAGCTGAGGCTACACCAGCAGCACTGACATGGAAAGCCCTTTGTCCCGTGCAGGCTGGACACCCATCTTAAGTAGCTCTGAGGGAATCTCTTGGGAAAAGGGGACAGAAAAGCAATAGGAAATCAATTGCTTATCTCCACAACTAACCTGTTCCATAGGAAACATGCTGGAGAACAGCTGTATCAGGAAAGATTTGCTTCTATAATGCTTGACTGACAGCTAGCAGACCAGGGAATGGATAGATGAAATTGAAAAATCAAACATTTTCAGCACATCCCACATATTCCTTCAATCCATCAGGCTGTCAAGTCAGTTGCTCCAGCGATACAGATGGAGGCTGTTTGAATACAGTCAGCTTTTTCCTCCCTCTGGTTTAGCCAGGTAATTAACTCTGCTCCACAGTCAGATCACCATCCCAGCATCCAGGAAAATGTGCTCTGAGGAGAAAGGCAGAGTCTGTAGGCTACTTCTCAAGCAAGGTTTTAACAGCTGTTCCTCACCTCCAGGCCACTGGCCAAGCTACTCACTGAATTAACCACTGAAGGAGCAACTCTCTACAGGCACCTTTCTCTGTGGATTTTACCACCCTCTGCTGAAATCCTTGGCTGCCAACAACTGCAACTTCCATAAAAAACGTCTTTCAGTGTAGATGTCAGAGTGTGGCTGGAGAACAAAAAGCCCATAGCTCCAGAAATATCCACCCTGCTGGACTTCCCTCAGCAAGTGAAAACTGTCTCTTTCCCCTGTTTGATGAGACTGACTTTCCAATGGAATTCCTGGTGCTGCAGCTTCTGCACAAAAGGGAAATGAAAATACAAAGCCTTCCTTCACTGTGTGCCAAGGTCACCCACCAGCCTTTCCCCAGAGTATGCCTGCCCTGGATCCTGAACCCTACTGCCATGCTTCAACCATTCTGATCTCTTCAGACTGTTTCCCTCCAGTGAACTGAATTTGAATCAAAGATTATTTTCCCATCAACTCAGCAATATCTCCTTTGAATCCTTGGAGAAATCCAACAATCGAGTGTAAGATTAGATTCCTCATCCTCCCCAAAAACACTGAGCTACCAGAGGCCTGCAATGGTAAGTTCTCTCTTGGGGAATCATTCTTTAAGAGAGCCAAACACATGCACCCATAGGATATACATGCAGGAAGGATGCTGGGATTCACACTGAGCATTGGCACAACACTCCAAGTTGCAGGTCTTCTTGCAATCAACCCCTCACTTGAAAGTATTTTTCTCCTTTGAATGACAGAAGCAGAGCAGCATGAAAAAATCACAAAGCTTTGTGCCAGAGATAATAGTGCTCAGTTATTCTAATCCTGAAGGCAGTAGCAAAGTACTCAGCTATCAGTTGCTGCTCAGTTTCAGAGGGAAATGTAAGAGATATAACAACAAGTTGGGCACTCAGGAGTCAGCAAAGATGCTGCCACCAAATGAGAGGCAGGAGGGAGGAATCCTGCCCGACACACATGTTCCTCCGTTGACTAAGAGTTGCCATTCTCCCTGTGTGTAAACATCTGGAGACATCCCAGGGAGGTTTAAAAGCCACTTAAGGCTTCAGGGCTTCCATGCTGCAATGCAAAAGCAAGTTTGGACATGACATTCATAAAAACAGGCAACCTCTAGGGATCAGGAGAGCTTTCAGCAAGGAGCTCTGTCTCATCCTCAGCTCAACCATATTCAGCAACTAAATTAGTCACCTGAATCTTTAACGAGAAAGTCACCAGAGAGGATGAAGAGCCACAACCCAATTTTTCAGGGTGTTATGACACTCATTTGCTTCCCTCCTCATCTCTCACATATACAATGTTGACATAAATTGAGTGAGATCTATCACAAAATGAATTTGTGGCAAGAACATCACAAAGGCAGTATCCCTAATGACGCGGCGTCCTGACATTACCCCAATATCCTTGTGAACTATAAATCTGGTATTTCTTAATCCAGGAGATGCTGTTTGCCTTTCCAAACGGAGCTTACCACAGTGGGGTACAGGGCTGTGCTCCCCAAGATCTGATCCTTTCCTTCCCCAATGTCCATGGGGAAAAACCCCAGTGTTCAGCCAAAAGCCACTGGAGAGAACACGGTGTTCTTTAAAGACACCACTCCCAGACCAATGTGTCTTGAAGCCTTAGGAAAAAACCCTCAGCACAAGAATCCCAAGGATAGTCTTGTTAGTGTGTCACCTCTCACAAAGAATTAAAAAAAGCATAGAATCACAAAATGGTTTGGGTTGAAAGGAACCTTAAAGATCAGCTCGTTCCATCCCCCTGACATGTAAACACGTGAGAGCTCTAAAAATAAACTCACATGAATAATACCTACAATTTTTCATCTTTTCTCCCATACATTAGGTTAAGTTGTACCTGACAGATCTATAGCTATAAAACAGGTTTCTCCACTCTTGACCATGATTTATGTGGTTTCCTTTGTTTTACTACAAGAGAGATTTCTGAAGTCTCTGTTTCAGCTGGCATAAAGTATTTCCAGTAATTCTGCCATTAAAAATGTATCCTACGCAAATTACTCTAAAGCCCCCAGGACACTGGTGCAAAAAAATCAGTGCCTTCTTAAGCAGAGCTATTGAATCCCAAAACAGTTTGATTTGGAAGGAACCTTAAAGCTCCAATTCCACCCCCTGCCATGGGCAGGGACACCTCCCATTATCCCAGATTGCTCCAAGTCCTGTCCAGCCTTGCCTTGGCCCCCTCCAGGGGTCCAGGGGCAGCCACAGCTGCTCTGGGCACCCTGTGCCAGGGCCTGCCCACCCTCCCAGGGAACAATTCTTTCCCAATATCTAAACTCCTCCTGTCTTCTGGCAGTGGGAAGCCATTCCCCCTTGTCCAGTCCCTCTATCCCTTGTCCCAAGTCCCTCTCCAGCTCTCCTGAAACCCCTTTAGTTACTGGAAGGAGCTCTGAGAAGCATCCCTGGATGCTTCTCTTCTGCAGGTGGACGCCTCCAGCTCTCCCAGCCTGGCTCCAGAGCAGAGGGGCTGCAGCCCTGGGAGCAGTTCCATGGCCTCCTCTGGACTCCTCACTCCACCAAGGTCCATGTCTGTGTTATGGTGAGGATCCCAGAGCTGGAGGCAGCGATTTCCAGAGCAACACAGGTGCCTTGCCCTTACTCTTACCACTAATTTATTTACAGAAGGATAAGAAATGTATCATTAAGTATATTCAGTCTGTCAGGAAGAGGACTGGAATGACTCTGCTTACAGAGGACCCTCTATGCCCCCAAAGGTACTTTTGCTCCCTTATTTCACTCGGTGTTAGATTGATTAACAAGCTTCAGCACCAAAATTCCAATTTAAGTGCTTTCAGATGCCCACTGATTCAGCCAGGAAAGGTTGTGACATGAAGAACAGATCTGCAGCCATTTCCTAGCACTCCAAATGGGCATCAGGAACTAGAGAGTACAAGTTTTACATCAGGATCAGTAACAGAATATTTTTTACAAACGTTAAGCTCGCCACAAACTGTGAGGTTTAGTACTTCTCATATATTAGTGCCTCATTTAGAGTAGCCAATGACTGCTCCAAGATTAATTTAAATTAATTCAGTTCATTATGCCAATGCCCAGATACTTAATTGCTTCTCTTGCCAGCTGGAAATCCTCAGAGTTTAAGTTATTGCTGAGAAAGGGTAAACTTCATTAGTCTTCTAAGCTCAGCTATTTGCACTGCTCAAGCATTCCTCACCACAGGAAAATTGAGCAGCATGAGCTACTCCTGTTGTATAATAATTTAGAGGAGATCCATTCCCCAAAAGCAGGCAACAAAACCAACACTTACCTGCAGTGAACCAAAGAAATTTCCCACCAACCCATCTCCCATCTTAGGCAGACACAATTAAGTCTATCTTACGTCATACAATCATAGGATTTTTCCATATATATCTTTTCACTCCTTCGTTTCTTCTCTTTGTGGGAGCTTCCTTACCCCAGCACATCCTACAGAATCCACCTGAAACACACTGGTTTCAGACTGCACCTGACAGTCTCCACCTGACAATTCCTGTCTTTCTTCATACCATCACCATTTCCTACTTATCTAGCCCAAGAAACTTAAAATTTCCAACTGCTTCTTGATCTGGTCTGTTACATCTTTACTGCCTTAACTGTAAAAAAATATTTACATATTTATCTCTTAGAACTAATTAACTATACTTACTGCTGTTTCCTGTACTAACTCAGGACACATCTACCTGAGTAGCTCAGGATGTCATTACAAACATTCTGTATTCACCTACTCTCATACTTAAACTCTACTGATCACCTGATTTCCATTTTCAGAAAGACAAAGGAAATTTACACTTCATCTCTTACTTCTTTAAACAAGGCTAAAATGCCCACTTGAAAGTCCATTGGAAACTTCCACAGATGTCAGTATGAAGAATTTTCTACATCAAATGTATCAGTTTCGTTCCTTGTTTCATTCAGCAGCTTTATGCCAAGTAATTAAATTAATATCGTAAGCTTGGGTGCACTTTTATTTTACAGTTGCTGACACTGAGGATTTATTTCATGGCTCAGATAGGAAAGGAATACTTGAAAGTCTGTACAATTCTATTTAGTGCTTTATAAATTTATAAAATATGAAGGAGACAGAGCAAGGAAAGGCACAACGAGTAATAACAGCAAGTCAGCCTCTTCAGATTGATGAGAGCTGTGTCCCTCTGACTGATTTCTATCAGTGCTCTCAGCTGAGGATGGTGCCCAAGGGCCTCCAAGGAACAGCAAAGTATTCCAGGAGCCAAAATTCCCTCCCTGAAACCCAGCCCTCACCCAGCAAAAGCACCATCCTCCTGATAAAAGCAACACCAGCACCTGAAACTTTAGCTGGTTTTAAAAGCAGAGAGGAACCTGCTACAGAAAGGAAGATTTTAACTCCATGTCTCTGGGACAGCTTTACATAGGACACGATGTCCTACTGTCTTTCTGGTTGTGTTAAGGGTAAGGTTTGAAGTGGAAAAACCCCACTCTCGCTTCCTTGCTGGAAAAGGGGCATTATCCCAGCCATGCCCTCAGAGGCACTGACTGCATCAGTGCAGATCATTAGCAAAATGCAGCACAAAACAACACTGTGCTGGATCACAGTGTTCTTCCTCCACTAAGCAACTCCTCTTAGCAGAGAGCCAGGCTTGACAGCTCTAAGGAACAGCCAGAACAATTCCCATCACCTTTCTCACACTGCATTAAAACTAGAGCCTTCTAACCACAGGTGAACAGAAAGCCAGCAACAAATCACCTGAGTATTAGAATGAAAAGAACACAGGCTTTCAGCAAATACTTTATTTTTAGACTCTAACTGCAGCCATGTGCTTGAGTGACACTGCTGGAGCCATGCTGCTCCCACGTGATGGAAGAGAAGGGAGTCCCTGGTTTACTTCAGACATGGCACAGGCCCAGGATTCAGTGAAAGTCACCTCAGGAAAGCCCAAACATGCCCTTTCTCCAAGTTATAGGAACAAGCTTCGAGCCTCAGAACCCATGAGGTGTCCTAAGGCTCTGACCCTTAAAATCCACATAAACCCTGTGTGCTGCTGCCTTCTCATCAAAGGACAGACTCTCCCCTTCTGCTCCTCTGCTTCATTTTATACATGAAGCAGCCAGCAGACCACAAAAAAAAAAGAGGAGTAAACCCCGCCCAGATGTGCTGCTTCAATCAGAAGCTGTGAAAGCAAAGGTTTCTCTCTTCACAACACCACAAACCGCCAGGCAGAGAGGAAACCAGGCAGGAAACCACATCAAAGAGCCCGTGTGAGACAACGCCTCAACCCCGAGCTCTGTCGCATCCCTGAGCACTCCCAGCAGCAAAGCAGCTCCTCAGGGCATCACCCTCAGCCATTCCTCCCATTCAGCAGCAGCAGGACAAGCAGGAGCGACGCAGGTACTTACCAAGGGCAGAAAAGAAATTAGATATCCATATATTACCTCTGCCAAAGGAATCTGGCACTTGCTGTGGCCGCAGTGGTCCCGAGGAAAGCTGCCACCACGAGCCTACGCCGGGTGCCGGGGTGCTGGGCTGTCCCATGGTAACGCCGAGCCACCGCCGCCAGCCCCGCGGCCACGGGCAGGAACCGCAGCCGGAACATCCTGCCAAGAGAGAACGCTGCTTTAGGAAAACAACAAAGTTTCCAAGTGACGCCTGTCCTAAACCTGGAAAAGTGTCACAGATCAACTCATGGGTGTTTATTACCTGTTCTGAAAGAGGCACGTAATCTGCCTAATAATCAGATTAAATACCTGTGAGTGTTGGCTACTGGCACATACGTGACTGTCACATCCAACTGCTTATCAGTGTTATTCCAATTCCTTAGCCTTTCCCCAAAACCCTCATCGAGAGGGAACCTCAGCTTCCCACAGAGGCCACATCCCTGAAAATGTTCAAGGCCAGGCTGGATGAGTCTTGGACCAACCTGGTTTAGCCAAGGTGTCCCTGCCCTGCAAAGGGCTGGAACTGGATGATCTTTAAGGTCTCTACCAACCCAAACCATTCCATGATTCCATGGAATATTTGCGGCCCATCTCTCGATTTCCACGGCATGGAAGATGGCAGGTAGATCTGATAAGCAGCTACAGCAGGTAAGAGGCATTTGGCCAGAAGCAAAGTCACAGCTAGATTTTAAAAGGCAAATTTAGCCAAATAACAAGCAAACTTATCAAACAAAACCCAACCCAGGCATTTAAATTTTCCTAAGAAAACCCTACTGTTCTTAAATCCCTTTTTTTGCTAGCCTGGAGCAAAACAATTTATATTCAACTGTAAGTACAGGGCAAGTTTCAAAGTGTCAAAACTTATAAAATATAATCCATACCCCATTACACGTGCAGCGGAACAGAGACAAATGGAAAAGCAGAGCTACAAATCCAAACATAATTACAGCAGAGAAAAAGGAACCACAGAAACACCACCTCATCACACACCAGCTGCAGGAGGCAAAGCAATTTTGGTGGCTCACAGGACTCAAGGCGAAGGGTAAATGCTGCCTTTGAAAAGGAAATCTGCTGAGTGTTCTTGTGTAATAAAGGTTTTATTTCTGAGGCAATTTTTTCAATCACAAGGTCAGCTTTAAAACTGCGAACAGAATGGTAAAGGAATTCCGAAAAAAACACAGAGCAGAGGAGCAGCAGCCTAATTTTTACCTTTTATTCCCAATTCTTGCCATTCTACTCACATATTCCCAGGCAGAGAGTAACAACAGAATACAAAAATAAAGCCACATCTATTGTTTTCTATTTGCTTCTGCAACACAGGATGCCACCACACCGTTCTGCTAAACCATTAACTTCCAGAAACAAGTTTCTCTGTGCAAACACCTCTCATGTTTGTGGTGTGTTAGGCTGCAAAGAGCTGGATACATCAGTGCCACTTGCTGCAGGTCAGGATCCCACAGTGGAGCGATGGGGAATTTGGGGCAGGAACAGAAGAAGAAGGAGGGAAAACACATCAAATATTCAGCAGATAATTTTGAGGGCTGGAGCTCGGTATCTTTTAAGGTAAGAGGTGGTGGAGAAGCCCCTGAAGACTTCATGGCCCAATCAAGTAATGAAAAATCGTTAACAAATCCCTTGTCAGTGGGTTTTTTCCTATCAGATTCAGACTTTTGCCCAGTCACGGGACAAGGGAGGCGAGATGGAGCACAAGAGATGGCAGAGGTGCCAAAGCCACAGGTTACCCGTCCATCCCCACCTGGATTTATGGGCAAACACCACAAATTTCAGTGCTCACAGTGAATCCATCCAAACAGCATCCATTTGATATTCATCTGTGCTCCTGTTAAAATTGGCATTATGGTTTTGTTTATTCCTTTTCAAATAAACAGGTTTAAAATTGAAGCGTTAATGGAATGCAGCCAGCTAACGGCACTGATTCTCCAATCCTCTCCAGCTCTGAACAACAATGAGATGGTTATGAAAAACAACTCTGATTTCAAATTTAAAATTATTCCCACTCTACACAAACCTGATGTTCCCATTTCATCTCCAGGGATGAACTTCTGTTCCATATGCAGAGGAAAATCTGAATTTGTTGCTTTCCCCAAGAATCTATCCTTGCCCTTCCTAGGGTTCCCCATCCTAATTACAGCTTTATATTCCTAACATGTATTGGATAAGGGAAGTATTGCCAGTATCATTTAATCAACCAAAATGAAAATTAAGCCCCACAGCGTTTACTTGGGAGCTTGAAGAGATTTTTACAACATTTCTGATTGTTGGCTTTAGTACTGCATAAATGTTTACTTTGCCTGAGCCTTAAGAAACATTAAATTATCTGCTTTGTCCAAGCAATCTCCATCCTTGATTCTGCTGGGATGTTTACCCAGACTGTTCACTTGGTAGCAACTGCCTGAGAGAGCTGAAAGCAGACAGTTCTCACAGCAGCTCCAAAATAAAGAGCATCCTTATCTCAGAGCAATTAAAATCCCTTTGGAAGCTGAATTTTCCATCTGCAATTTATACAACCTCTCACAATTTTCTTTTTTTAAATCAGAAGTGCCATGATATTTGGTATATTTGGTTAAAAACTCCAGGCACTGAAGTCAAGATCACTTGAGAAAGCTGATGCTCACTTTTAGAAAGATTAAAAATAACATCTTGCCCTGTGCAGCAACAAAAAGCTCAACACCACAGTTTGCAATAAGGCAAGGAATAAAACTGAGATCAAGTATAAAACTCCCATCAACTAATGTAATTACAGCTTACAATAAGAAACAAACCCAATTCCTGAATGATTTACTATAATAAAAAATTATTTTTTATATTATACAAAAAAGCAGCCAAGAGGAAAAAACAACAAAATACTTAACTTTTATGTTTGCTTATTTTCATTATTTTGGAGTTATCATGATGTTCTAGCACTAGAGCTACAAGGAATCTGTAGACTGTATTTATGTTTCCAAGAGATAAGCCAACCTTACCTTAAATTCTTGCTCATAGCAGCTCTACAGTCATTTTCAGAAGTTGAATTAATATCCTCAGACAAAAGAAATGGTTGGGGCTTTTTTTCCAGAACAGAATGACCTAACAACTTTTATTTATGCCATAATTCATAGATGGCTTTTTTAAAGCAGAAGAGTCAACAGAGAGACTCAAACCCATTAGGAAAACACCAATCCCAAGCCAGGACAAAACAGAGTCCATTCAAACTGAGACCACCCGGGTCAGGTGAAAGGAAGAAATGCAACATTATTTCAACAGTTACATCAGTTCTAGCATGATGTGGGTATTTGACTTCCCCAAACAATGAACAATGACCCTCTCTCTCTCTGCTAATCTGTTCTCCAAGGAAATTGAGACAAGCTGTCCAGCTCTCTCCCTGGCCTTTCCAAAGCCCGAGATTTTTTCAGTGCAGATAAGAATTGGAAGATCCCAACTCTTACATCCTTTTTCAGAAGACGACTTGCTCCTGTTTTTCCAGCCCCCTGACTAGCTCATGATTCCAAGACTGAAAGCACTAAGCAGCTCATCCTGGGGAAAAGGGACTTCCCACACTTGGGTACCCCCGAGCACTGAATTTTCTGTAGACATTTTGGAGATCCAGAGCAGATAAAACACTTGAATCATCATTTTGATGTCAAAACTGGCCTTGGCAGCACAAGCATGTGAGAGGGAGAACAGTAAAATTCAGAGAAGGGGTAACAGGCACTTATGTGAACAATTCTACTAGGACATGGTAAGCCCATGAATCAATGAAGAACGTCAATTATGACTTTAAATATACTGCAATGCAGGAAGATCATCTAAAAAGAAAAAAATTGTATTTAGGAGGAACTATTTAGGCATAAAAACTCCTGCAGAGACTGGCTGAGATGGAGTCACTAAGAACTCAAAGAGCTTTCTTGAGCTGTGTGTTTATTAAAAAGCCAAATCTGACGTTGCCAGAGCACATCAAGACATCCTGACCCAACAGATGCTGTAGGAAAATTCCTCACCTGTTCCTATCTCAGCACCTGACTGTCAATTCTGTCTGAAGCCAGAGCCAACAGCAGAAAAGTGAGGGTAACAGCTCCCAGCTCTCCTGTCTCCATCTTCTCATGAGGATTGGGAAGAGGGGAAGGAAAAATTAAAATGGGGGAAAAAGCACAAGTCCAATGGAAAGGAAAAGTCAGTATGCAAGGGAAAGGGTGAAGCAATCAGGAGAGAAGTTTCACCATTAACACTGAGATTCATAAACCAGGAGGAAAGAAAACCTCATAGCTTCAACCCTGCCTCCACCAAAACCAATTATGACTTTTCCTTCCCAGAGCAGCTGTGGCTGCCCCTGGATCCCTGGAAGTGTCTAAGGCCAGGCTGGACAGGGCTTTGAGCAGCCTGGGATAGTGGAAGGTGTCCCTGCCCATGGCAGGGGGTGGCACTGGATGGGCTTTAAGATTCCTTTCCAACATGAACTTTTCTATTATTCCATGAAATCTGTATAAGAATAACTCCTAAAAGGGTGCCAGGAGGTACATTCCAGCTAATGAAATATCTGGATCCACTCCTTCCCCCATTTTCAAGACAGACCCAACAGCTACTGATCTTTTCCCCTCCAAATTTTCATCTCACAGAGCACAATTTTGAGATAAAGAATTTCACACCATACTGAAGTTATTAGCCTACCAAGACACATAAATCAGATTTGGGAAAATTAAATCTAGCAGCAAAAGTAATTTCTCCTCAGGTAGGGATTGGGGCAATATTTGATCACAGTAATTTTGCTGGAGAGGAACTACATTTGTTTCGGAACACGATTCAAATTGATGTAGAGTCCACCAAGTATCAATCAATGCAGAAACCTAAGCCATAGCCTGGCAATTTCTTTTTAACTGTCATTGTAGTAAAGTTTCACCTCTTCCTAAAATCCTCAGCCCTGGAAATGCCCAATCTCCAACTCCACAGCTCTACACCCAGCCATGGCTCAGCCTCCCCCTCAGGGATGATCAGTGGCATCCCTCCCCTCATGAGCTGCATTATTCTGCCAAATAATTGTACTGATTTTCAGGGCTAAGGGGAGAAGGTGATGCATTGCAAACACACAAGCTTTTAGATTTAGCTTTACTAAGGCATTTTTAGAAATTGAAACTGGATTATTTATAAAGATGTAGGACAGTAGCTGGCTCGGGCTTCCCTTGAAAGTGAGACAGGAGTGTTTAACTACTGGGGAAAAACTTTGGTGCCACTAAACTGGCAGAAGAATCTTGGCAAACTCAGCAACCCCAGATTTAACCTGTGAGCTGAGTTGCCAGAGGATCTGAGTGGATGGATGCAGCCACCATGAAGCACAGCTTTGGAGGTACAAATGAAAAACGAGGGTACCCAAACAGAGTAAACTGGTCCCATCTGTTGCAGCAGCACTGAAAATAGCACCTCCAGCAAGGACACAACATTTCCTTCCTACTTCAGACTGCTAGACTCCAGCAATGCACTGGAGGTTTCTAAGAGGTAGCTATAAACTTCCACAGAAACAAATGCCAAACGCTGCTTTTTCCTGGTTAAAGTTGTCCCTTCCTCCACACAAAATGCAGCACATTCCTTGAGGTGTTCCACCTAGAAAACATTACAGTAAACCTCAGCCATGAAAAACTCCCTAGAAACACCTCCACAGGTGTCAGAGATAACTCAGAAGAGCTGTAAAAACAAAAAAAAAATTCTCACCCTTTCTTAAGGACAACAATCCTGCTTCCTGAGTTACCTCCTATCCTAATCAGTAGGGTGAAATTTTCTTTTTCCAGTTGCTATTCTCAAATAAACAGGCTGCCTTTGCAAACCAGCCACAGGAGCAGGTGCACCAGAGCACAGGTATTTCCACACTGATTTGAGGAGCAAAGGATCACCAAAGAACTGTTGGCAGAGGGGCAGAAAACATAGCACATCTGCCTTTTCCTATAAAAAGTTACAGCCAGCAGGAATGCATCTGCTTAATGGCCTGACTCATTTAACTTGCCTTGCACAATCTGTGTCCATAAGGTGTGATTTCCTTGAGAACTCCTAACTTTTCCACAGAATGGAGAGACTCTCCTTGAAGCTTCAGCCAACAGTCATCCCCCTGCATCTACCTCACAGCAAACAAAAAGTATCCCAGAGTAGTCAAATTTAAGAAATGTTTATGGTTCATCTGTCTCCAAGAAAAGCAGGGTTAACTCCTAATGAATAAACATGAAAAATTAATTCTGGAAGAGAAAAATTTAGAACAAAGCAATAGCCTCTCTAGGCTGACAAGGTGGAGGCTTGGCATGCTTGAGTTATCTGCAGATAAAATTTCAGCTCCAGAAAAGACAAAGGTTTTTTTGAAGGGAGACAGACAGTGGATTGTGTCAGAATTTGATATGGTGAAGCCTGAACTCCTCTGTGACAAGAAGGAAAAAGATTTGTGAACCCCCCCAAGAGCCTGAATACCACAATGGGAAAATTTCTCCTTGGCTGAAGTTGCCTTTTGAACAGAAACATCACCTATAGTCACATCCCCCTTAAGAAAATGCTTCTTCCTGGCCAAAAGTCATGCTTTGGTGGCTTTGTTTTCTGTACAAAAAAAAAATTAAAATTAAAAACTTACTGAAACAAACAAAAAAATTCACAGCACATGTGTTTCATTTACCAGATGGCGATTGTTTGGGAAATCAGGAGAAGAGTACACTGCTGCTTTCCCCCCAAAAGGAGAAGCAAGTCTGAATCACTGCAGTTGCTTTTCCAACAACACATTGTTGGATTAGCTTGAACTTCAGAGAGGAGAAAAGAATATGGATAAGCCAAACCAGGCTAGTGCCTGGTGCTTTTAGAACACAGCCTGAGGAGCTTGGTTTCAGCAGGAAAAAAACAGCAGCAGACACTTGGCTCCACCCAAGGTGGGTAGGCAGGCCCACCTTAGGTACCTGTCTGTATCACAACTGAGATTCTTGTGACAAAAAAACCCCACTGCTCTTCTAGCTCCTGAAGCAAAAATGCCAGAGGTGGGAAGTTTGCACCAAACAAATGAAAACACAGAATTTCAAGTGGTGGTACGGAACACAACTGGTCCATACAGACACTGGGGCTGCCTGGTCTGTATCAGAAGCTTTATCTGCATCACAGACAGGCTACGAATTCTGGAGCCACATGGATTCCCAGGGCTCATGTTTCAAGCCCAGGTCAGGTGCAACTTTGCTTGTCTCAAACCATGACCTTCTTTCTTGTTGTCTGCACAAGGATCTCAGATTTCACTTCACAGAGCTAAAGTAAGAGAACTAAGAATTTTAGCTTGAGAGACCTTGGAGACCCAGAAAAAAAATCCCCAACCCAAACCCTGTGCCAGTCTCAGCACAAAATTCCCAGTTAGAACCATCAGAGCTTTGGTTCTTCCAACCTTGTCCTGCTCCACATCCACAGATGAGGAGTTCTTCACATGGTGGGACTACAATTAAAAGCTGCTCTCAAGAGAGGTTAAATCCAGAATGCATGGAAGCAAACTCCATAGCAGGTTTCTTCAGGGAAAAACAACTCCCAGTACTCACAGACAGGGCAGTAGACAAACATAACCCAGAATTTACTACCCAGGAACCTTCCAGGTAAGTCCACAGAAGCCACAGTAAAACAATTCATGATCTAACAGTCTATTTTTCCTCTTTTAAAGTATCTTAAATCTAAAACTAAGAGGTGAGGCTGCCACAGGCTGTGGATGATGTGTGCTTAGGGAGACAAAATGCCTCAGGATCTACTCACTTTCTGCTATGAGTCTGTGTATTTTTTACTTGAAGTGTCATATGCATCACCCCAAAGATAAATATTCATCCTCAGTCTTGCAGAACCAACAAAAGAGCTGGAGAATGATTTTAGACAAGGACATGGAGCAAAAGGACAAGGGAGAATGGATTCCAACTGTCAGAGGACAGTATTGGGAAGGAATTCCTCCCTGGGAGGGTGGGCAGGCCCTGGCACAGAGTGTCCAGGGAAGCTGTGGCAGCCTCTGGATCCCTAGAAGTTTCCAAGACCAGGCTGGACGGGGCTTGGAGCAACCTGGGATAGTGGAAGGTGTCCCTGCCCATGGCAGGGGGTGGAACTGGATGATTGTTAATGGCCTTTCCATAATTCTGTCTTTAAGAGGGAGCCACACCATTTGCACCACACTTTTCTTAGAACACTTCTGTTTAAAAAAGAAAAATAATAAAAAACAATCATCTCAGAGGTGTACAACACCCAAAGACCCTGGGTAAGTGCCTCCTGCCAAATTATTCCAAGCAACATCATCCCACCTGAAGTCACATCTAGGCCAAGACAGTTTTTCACTGACACCCCTTCAACTTCCCAACAAGCAAACACAGCACCTGGAATTAATATAATTAAGGTTATTTTTATTGTTGTACCCAACCACCCTCAGCCTCACTGCACTGAGCTGTATTAAAATATTGGGCCCAAATATGTCAACTGGGAACTTGGGAAGAAAAGATTTCCATATGCCAGGTCACTTCAGGAAGTGTTCCTGCAGCAACTGGAACAGCATGAAACAGTGTGTTTTTATAATAAACCTAATAGGATTGCTACAGAACTTATTTTGCTCAAGAAAACAAAAAATTGTTACTTCCACATTCCAGATCTAAACATGCTGATGGCTCCCTCAACTATCACCTGAAAAATTTAACATTTCTGAGATGCTGCTTCAAAGCCCTGCTCAGACTTCAAATGATTTGCAAGTCTTGCAGCCTGAGGACAACAGGATCATCTCTCCTCAAACTCTGAGCTTACCCAGGATCCCGGGAGGCACAACAGGAACCTGCAGGGAGAAGTGACACAGCCACCAATGACACACAGGGCACTCCAGAGGGTCCTCAGCACGCACACAATAATGGTGGAATCAAGGCACATCATTCTTTTTCCTCCAGAACATGGAATTTCAGCTTCCTTGGTTCAGGAAGCATTAGGGAATATCACAAAAATTTCAACAGGAGATGGGTCATGGGGACAAGCCACTTCCATCCACAAGGAAATAGAGGGATAACATGAGTTTAAGATTCACCATAAATGCCTTCCACAAACCCAGGCTGCTCCAACCTCATCCAACCTGGCCTTGGACACTTCCAGGGATCCAGGGGCAGCCACAGCTTCTCTGGGCACCCTGTGCCAGAGCCTGCCCACCCTCACATGGAAGGACTTCTTCCCAATATCCCATCTAATTATGCCCTCTGACAGTGGGAAGCTTTTAAATGCTCTGTTGCTCCAGATGGACAAATAGTTTAAGCATCTTTCATTAGCTTTGGTTGTATTTTTGTTGGGGCTTTTTTATACCCCCCTATGCTCAAGCACATTTTTTAGTGAGCACCTGAGGTTTTTTTTTTGGTGTTGGGAGTTTTTTTACATTTTATCAAAGTGGCACAACTGAGGTTGGGCTGACAGAAAGCTACAGGCAAACAAACTTCTTCCAGGTGCTCAAGCACTTGGACCTGGAAAGTCAGCACAACTCTGCACACTGCAAAAAAAGGCAACTCATTCTCCTACAGCTTTAAGATAAGCCCTAAGAGAGCACTCCAGGACAAGAATGTTCTACACAGAATTATTAAGGGTAACAATCAGCCAAATGATTAATTCAGCAGTTAAAGCACCTGACAGCAGCTGAGTTGCACAGCCCAACATCCAGCAACACCATCCTCACCTGTAGCGTATTTGCTCCCAGTTTGCAGGTCAAGAGGTCACAGAGAACACAGGCAAGTATTTCTCAGCTGGGCCCTGATCTAAAAATGAGAAAGAAACATAATAAAGGTCATAACTTCGTGCTGTACCTAATTTCCCTCCTGGCAGTCATGCCCTGCAGCGCTCACATGTATCGACCTCAGGAAATGCATCTCAGACTGAGCCAAAAAAAAGCCAGGAGGAGGAAAATGGTCAACAGCCGAATAAAGGAATTACAGACAAGGCAGGCCTTCAACTCAAGCCTGAGCTGGCAACGAGGATTCTAAAGCAGAAACCTCCAAAAATCCAGCCTGGTTTGACCTGCCCACCCCATCAGAACCCACTAAACACAGTCAGATTTACCATCTTTCCCAAGCAACTCATTAAACTACAGGCAGGTACAGAACACATAAATCACGTTGTGATAAACATCAGGCGTTTCTGTACTCTGAGCAGTTTATTAACTCTAATTCACCCTAAAGGTTTTCCGACACAAACCCCATATCAAACACAGCTGGGGCCATTCAGCGGAGTTAAAGCTTAAAGGAAGCTCTATCACGAGAAAGTGGTTTGACAGGAGCTCTAACACACGGCGATAACTCACACAGCCCGAGCAGCTCCGCCGGCGATCCCACAACCAGCAAGGAAAATAAACCAAACCTAACTCCTCTCACGGTGTGAGAGCCCCCCAAAGCACTCCCTGCAGGGCCCCTCGGCAGGATCCCTCCTTCCCCTGAGCGCCGCGATGTTCCCCTGGACCCGCGGGTTCATTTCCCAGGGGTGAAGGCACAGTGTTACTGCAAGACCCAAGGATGGAGTAGCCAGAAGAACACGGCATCCCGAGCCCCGTGTGGGCCGGAAAACCTGATTTTCCCGGCCAGCGGCTCTGCCTGCGATCCCTTAACCCCAAGTGCCGGGACCCCTCAGTCCCGGAGCCTTGGAGTCCCTCAGCTCCGGGAGGCAGGACCCTCCTACTCCCAGGGCCTGCGACTCCCCCTAGCCCCAAGAGCCGCTTCCATTCCCGGGAACCCCTCCTCAGCCCCCAGGACTCCCCTCAGACCTATGGCCTACGCAGACCCCACATTCCGGGGCCTTGAACTTCCCCCAGCCCCGTGCCTCGGGACACCCCCACCCAGTTCCGGGTCCTGGGATCCACTCAACACAGGCCCCATCACACCCCAAAGCCCGGAACACCGGAAGCGAGGACTCCCCAGCCCTGAGCCATCCCCTCTCCGCCACCTCCCGGCCCCCTCAGGACCCCGCTCACCTCAACCCCGCCGCCGCTCCCGCCGCCCCGCCCGCCGCGCGCGCGCGCGCGCTTCCGGGGGCGGGGCCTGCGCTGGGGGGCGTGGTCTGTGCGCGCGGGGGGCGTGACCCACCCATGGTGGGCGTGGCCTCGGCGCCTGCCGGGCGCCGTGAGGGGCTCGGGGGTCCCTGCGGGTTTTGAGGGGTTCCCTGCGAGTGTAGGGGTTCAGAAAGCTCTTGGTGTAGGTCACGAGAGGCTTTTATACAGCGTGTGGTGAGTGTTCTTACGGGTCCTGTGTGTAGGGGCTGAGGGGATTTGGTATAGGGCCTGAAAG